GGGGGTATGCGATGAGATTGGTAACAGCCTTACAAAAGCGATGTCATTAACCTGATCGTTTTCAGACCTCTTTATTTCGTAGGAACTAGTAAATATACACTTAACCAGGCACTTATGGCTATGGATACCTCCTTATTTTATGTATTTTATCGCTTTGCTTTGTCCCGCAAATATTTATTTTCTTACAATATGTATACCTTATAATAGTGTTTTAATCCTTGAAGGTATGGCATTCTCCGGTTTTGGCCCAGACAATACTAAATATCGATACTGATTTGAATACTTGGTTTCGATGTTATATCCGAAAGAGAGTGAGAGATGCGCTGCTATTTTCAGTACAAAATTAATGGGTAGGTCTAGGAGTATGTTGGATTTTTTTTAGCCGGGAGGGGGGGGGGGCTTACCCCCAGACCTTTTAAAACATGAGGGTATAAGGGGGGGCGTTCCCCCTTAAATTTAACCATATTTTGACGTATTGTAATTCAATTAGGTTTGATATTTCTTGCTCGCTGAGCATCAAACACCAAAGGCCCTATTGGCACGCGCGTCGAAAAGTAATCGTTTAGAACCAGAAGTAATCGTCGGTGTAGCCAAAATTCACATTCTATAGTTATTGTTGGGGCCAAAACCGGATTATCCCGAAGATAAATCTGGAACTCAGGTACTTTCAGACTTGGCATTCGTAAAAACACGACGGAATCTGACCCATGATAGTGACGTATTGAAGATGGTTTGTTTCCTTTTATGGCACCAATTTCCGGGTTCTGCAGACTGAGAAAAGAAGAAGTAAAGTCATAATTTGTTTGCTGCTTCTGTTGTTCGGGTCATGTAAGTGATGATAATGCAGTGTAAGAAATACCTTTTACATAGCTGACTAGACTACAGATTTAATATGTGTTCAATTGAAGCTTAGATCTACTTCGTTTGAATAAAAATAAATGATGGGACGTTTTCATGTTGTTTACTTTCACTTTTCAGGCTCAACAGTCTTGTAGACTAGATTTCTAGACTAGATTTCTAGATCTACTCTACTTGTACTGTGCCTGTGCCTTTTTTCTTCTTCTTTAAATTACTTATTGGTCTATGTTGACTCATAGGTTTATTTCGAAAATAGAAAGCAAGGGGCTGACATGCCACATAAAGCTTGAGATGGTATAATGAGTTTTAACTTGAAATTTTGTAAGCTCAAGAGTCAAAGTCAAAGAAGAAGATTGTAAACCAACAAAGGCAAGGAGAAGAGAGGATTTAGATCTAGATCTACTTATCTAGTGGAGTGTGCTTTTAAAATGATCTAGAATGTAATAATAATTTTGAGATGAGCAAAAATAATAAAAAAAGCTGTTTGAGCTTTAGCTTTGGGGTTTTTTTTTGCTTCCACTTTTAGAGCAGGCCTAGCTTATTATTATTACTGAAAATGAAAGACTAGAGATAGCTCGTTCCTTGGTTGAGCTTGGGGAGGTTTTATTTGGTCATTTTCATGCTTTTTATCTTCAGAGTGTCTACGTACACGGTAACCGGGCACCTAGTCAGTATCTACATACACGGTAACCAGCTACCGGGCACGTAGTCTCAGTTTCACGTACATGGTAACTAGGCATGTAGCCTCAATATCTACGTACATGGTAACCGGCGATGAGGCATGTAGTTTCAGTGTCACGTACATGGTAACCGTGCACTTTAGAACTCCAAGTTCAGTTGTTGTCATCCGGTTTTGCCTTCAACCCCCCCCTCCTACTGTACCTTTTAATAAAATCAATAATCCACCCATTCCGGAGTCTTTTACACTTCGCAGCGCACAGAATTTGAATGAACTTTGGTGACCCTAACGATGACAAGTACTCACAATATGATGCAAAAGCTAGAGTTGGGACGAGCGGACGGACGGGTTTGTTACTCACGGACTCGGCCAGAGCGAGCGGGTAACGGACGGCTATACGAGCGGACTGCGAACTTTTAGACAGTTCGTTTTTTGGGTCCGCTCCACAATTTGACACTCTCAGGGGTCCTCAAGCCTCAAGTCAGTTAGTTTTTTTGGGTCCGCTCCACAATTTTATTTACTGAGCGGGCGGGCGAATGGATGAACTCTAGCAGACGAGATACTCGACGCGAGGTTTGGCCCATCGTCTAGTGTTTCAAGCCACTAACGGTGTCACAGGGAGTGAGAGAGGCTGGTGACGTAGTGCTATATGTGTGTAACCTTTCACCTCGTGTGTGGGCACACTGTGTACACTCCAATTTATCGTGAAAGCCTGTGGGGGGGTAGGGAAATTTCCGCCATGGACGCCTAGCTACAATGTGAGGCAGGAGGGTGATTTTTAAATTAATTTTTTTGGGGGGGAGGGGGGAGAGGGGAGATGACTTGGTATGGCTGGGGGGTTGTAAGTAGTATACAATGGAAGGAGTCGCTCTCCGTCCGCCCGCTCGAATGCATGGATTCTCTCCGTCCGCCCGCTCGCTAAACGAACTGTAGTCTCTGTCCGATGTGTAGCGAGTAGCGAACTACTCTTCACAAGCGGACGGTTCGTTACCTGTCTGCTCATTTACGGATAGTGCCAGCGAGTAGTTCGTTACTCGCCGACGCTAATTTTGCGAGCCCGACCCAACTCTAGCGAATGCACAAGTTCACTGACTGGTCACGATGGCAAGCCCGACAAGACGATTGTATAACTTCCTTTTTTTTCTGCAAGTGTCAGCACAGGACAAATATTGATTTATTTTCATTCCGGTTACCGTGTACGTAGATACTGAGACTAGGTGCCCGGTTACTGTATACGAAGACACTCTGTTTTATCTTTGAATAAGTGGTGGGAATTTGGAAAGATTAAGGTTCCTACCCCATCGGTAATTGGTGGGTGCAACTGGATGGCCTTACTTACTTTATTTCTTTCCCTCTATTGTTTCTTTCCGGTCTTTCCCTGAACTAAATGCCGATGTCATGTGAGTCATGCTTCTCTTTACTCAAACAGACCTAGATTTCTCGTTGAGCTGACGCGCCAACGACTCTGTCTGTCTGTGACATCGTAGAAGAATGTCGTATCACAACATGGAGCCAGACTACGGCCAGGTCCGAGTGCCCCCCGGGACCGCCCCCAAACCCTACTCTCAGGGCATGTCCTACAGACAAGGTAAGTGGGACGTCCTGATCTGATAGTTTTACCAGTTAGTGTTTACTCTCAGGGCATGTCCTACAGACAAGGTAAGTGGGACGTCCTGATCTGATAGTTTTACCAGTTAGTGTTTACTCTCAGGGCATGTCCTACAGACAAGGTAAGTGGGACGTCCTGATCTGATAGTTTTACCAGTTAGTGTTTACTCTCAGGGCATGTCCTACAGACAAGGTAAATGGGACGTCCTGGTAGTTTGACCATTATAATATCACTCTAGTGTTTACTCTCAGGGCATGTCCTACAGACAAGGTAAATGGGACGTCCTGATAGTTTGACCATTATTAAGTCTAGTGTTTACACTCTCAGTCCATTTCCTACAGACAAAGTATGTGGACTCTAGTTAGTCTCTGTAGGATCAAATAGATTTTGGACCCTAGTTAGTCTGTAGACTATAATAGAATCAAATAATATTGAGAAATTTGGACTCTAGTTAGTCTATAGGATCAGATAGATATATACTGGTCACGATGGCGAGCCCGACAAGACGATTGTATAACTTTTTTTTTTCCTTTTTTTTCCGCAAGTGACAGCACAGGACAAATATTGACAATATGGCATGAATTACCATCTTTATGCTGATGACACTCAAATTTATATATATAAGTCTATCGATTTCGATCGAATACCACTTTTAGTCGACTCTACTGAACAATGTACTAGAGATATAAAAATATGGATGACCAGCAATAATTGAAACTAAATGATGACAAGACGGAAATAATGTTGAGTGGAAATACAAAAGCCATTAAAAATCTCCCAGAGCTACAAATTGATGTTAATAACCATACCATTCGTTCAATTGGATAATAATATGTCTATGTCCTCCCAAATTAGCCAGCTCAGCAAAAGTATTTACTTTCAGCTTAAGAAAATTGGCAGTGTACGAAATTAGTTAACTATATTTTAATCTTTTAGTATCTTTTAAGTGCGTGTTTTCATACTATCACCTGTGTTGTCTCTAAGCGTTCAGTTCTATCTAAGTGTGTATCTTTTATCTATGTGTGTACCTTCTATCTAAGTGTGTTCTTTCTATCTAAGTGTGTACCTCCTATCTAAGTGTGTACCTTCTGTCTAAGTGTGTACCTTCTATCTAAGTGTGTACCTTCTATCTAAGTGTACCTTCTGTCTATGTGTGTACCTTCTATCTAAGTGTGTTCTTTCTATCTAAGTGTGTACCTCCTATCTAAGTATGTACCTTCTATCTAAGTGTGTTCTTTCTATCTATGTGTGTACCTTCTGTCTAAGTGTATACCTTCTATCTAAGTGTGTACCTTCTGTCTAAGTGTGTACCTTCTATCTAAGTGTGTACCTTGCATCTAAGTGTGTACCTTGCATCTAAGTGTATACCTGCTAAGTGTGTACCTTCTGTCTAAGCGTGTTCCTTCTTTCTTGATGAGTACCTTCTATCTAAGTGTGTACCTTCTATCTAAGTGTGTACCTTCTATCTAAGTGTGTACCTTCTATCTATGTGTGTACCTTCTATCTAAGTGTGTTCTTTTTATCTAAGTGTGTTCCTCCTATCTAAGTGTGTACCTTCTATCTAAGTGCGTACCTTCTATCTAAGTGTGTACCTTCTATCTATGTGTATACCTTCTATCTAAGTGTGTTCTTTCTATCTAAGTGTGTACCTCCTATCTAAGTGTGTACCTTCTATCTAAGTGTGTTCTTTTTATCTATGTGTGTACTTTCTGTCTAAGTGTATACCTTCTATCTAAGTGTGTACCTTCTATCTAAGTGTGTACCTTCTATCTAAGTGTGTACTTTCTATCTAAGTGTGTACCTTCTGTCTAAGTGTGTTCCTTCTTTCTTGATGAGTACCTTCTATCTAAGTGTGTACCTTCTATCTAAGTGTGTACCTTCTATCTAAGTGTGTACCTTCTATCTATGTGTGTATCTTCTGTCTAAGTGTGTTCCTTCTTTCTTGATGAGTACCTTCTATCTAAGTGTGTACCTTCTATCTAAGTGTGTACCTTCTATCTAAGTGTGTACCTTCTGTCTAAGTGTATACCTGCTAAGTGTGGACCTCCTATCTAAGCATGTACCTTCTATTTCCCTTATCTCCCCTTCTTCTTTTTTATGTTTGTTACTCTCTTGTAACACCTTTAATCTTCTGGTGCTCATATGACCTTATGCAGTTGCGAGCGCCGTAAAACCTCTACTAAAACTAAACTAAACTATCTACTTGTTCGAAGTGTATACCTTCTATCTGCTTTTGTACCTCCTGTTTGACTTCTCAGTGTGTACCTCCTATCTAAGTGTGTACCACTTCTCTAAGCGTGTCCCTTTTCTAAGCGTGCTCCTTCTATAAAATTTAAGTGTGTATGTTTCTCCCTGACCAGGCGGCCAAAGCTACCGTCAAGTCAATATTGACCACTACCCGGATGACCCAAGCGGCTACCCACCGCCGCCGCCCCCAGACAACATCCCCAAGGGCTACAGCTACGACCCGGAGGACGACTTCCCTCCCCCACCTCCCCCGGCTCCACCTCATGCATATGCAGAGGAAGACGGTCACTTGTATGGGAACATCTACGGGGGAGAGGCGCGCTACATGAGGACAGATGACTACAGACCTCCGGACTATCAGTCTGTGTCTGATGGTATGTTGTTGTTGCTGTTGTTGTTGCTGTTGTTGTTGTTGTTGTTGTTGAATGGGTGCTACATGGGGACAGATGACTACAGGCCTCCGGACTATCAGTCTGTGTCTGGTGGTATGTTGTTGTCGTTGTTGTTGTTGCTGTAGTTGCTGTTGTTGCTGTCACAGTGAGGTTGTTGCTGTCACACCCAGGAGACCAAGTTCAATTCCTTTGTCGGAGTGAATTTTTATCAAGTTTCGTAGTCTTTTTGCTGGGACGTTGTATCTCTCTCTGCGTGGGTTGACACTGACAAACAGGGGCAGAAACCATCATGATCTTAATTGTGTCGATGAGGGTGCAAAAACGGCTACATTAAAATTATTTGTATTTATTTATTCATTACAAAATTTATTTATTTATAT